ATAGACAGTTTTATGTATATGTATATATTTATATATATCTGGCAAATTAAGGCAAAAACGATTTTGAATTTTGTTCGCTTTTTCTATATACATATTTTCTATATATACATGTATTTATTATTATTTTTTTAAATTAATTTTTTATGAGCTGCTTTGCCTTCCAACGCGCAGAGACAAACAAACAAAGCGGAAAAACAACTTTTTGCTTTAATTAAATTATTATGCTGGCACTATAAGTTTTTATGCCTGGCTTATAACCTGTGCGTTTTCATAATCAGCAGCAAGACTTCTTCTTCTTTTCGGCTATTTTTTTTTTTTTTTCCTTTTTTGAGTGTGTTAACCAATTTGATAAACAGCAAAAGTCGAACTAAAACAAAAAAAGATCAAATGCTGCTGGCAGCAATGTTGCTGGCAACAATGTTGCTAGCGCTAGGCATGCAAATGGGCCAAATCGAAAGCCGCTTCGTTCGTCACATTTTTTTCGCATTGCTGCTGCTGCTGCTGCTGCTGCTGCCGTAGATTTTTTTAATGTAAATAAAATGGAAATTCCTTGGCAAAGAGCAGATTGCAAACAAAATGCAGGCAGGCGCGCAAAAAAGCTGTAGAACAGCTCGGCTAGGCACTTGTTAAGATGACTGCCTTGTTAAACGAGCCTGCAACACCCCAACAACAGCAGCAACAACAGCAACAGCAACAGCAACAACAACAACAACCACAACAACCACAATAAACAATGTTGCAATGCTTAATTATTTCAGCGGCAAGGAATTCCTCAACGCAAACTTGAACTGCTTCTGCTGCCGCTTGCTGCTGCTGCTGCTGCTGCTGCTGCACTTAAGTGCGGGTATTGCGGCCAAGCGTGCAGCAGGCAAACGCGATTGTTGCCAACACTTGAGGTCGTCTGCTAGGCACACACACACACACACACACGCACACAGAGACTATGTCTGAGTTGCTGCCACAGCTTCAGTCACATTGGTCAACGGCACCGACGCGTCTATGGCCATGTTGCCAGTTGTGGTTGCATCTTCTTCTCTGAGCTGCTGCTGCGGCTGCGGCTGCGGCTGCTGCTGCTGCTGCTGCTGCTGCTGTTGTGGCGCACCTATTTGTAATGCATTAATAGCCAAGAGGCAACAACAGCAGCAGCAATTGCAGCTCAGCTCAAGCCAACAGATTGACATTAAGCTGCCTTCTGGCTCCGACTGCGGCTCTGTCTCTGGCCATGAAGCAGATGCATTTGATAAATGGCAGACTGCACATTAACACTGCCCCAGCTGTACCACGCTAATAATCCATAAATCGTTAATTGGTGCGTTGCCAAATGGCGTTAGATGAAATGCATATGATTTACTCCCCATCCCATTCCCATGCCTCGTCCATTTCCATTTGCTCTTCGCTTACTATCTGAAGCTCTTGAAGCTCAGCTGCGCTAATCAGCGCAAAAGGCTCTTTAATTGATTACAAATGGAGGAGAAAGGCAAGTATGGTTTCTAAAAATTAATTTCAATTACATTTCATGGTTATTCATCTGCTCAAACTTTATTGCATAACTTGAAGTGCCTCTGTGCGTTAATTTAAGGTCGTAAAAAATCTGCTTTATTGCATTAAATATTTCTTTTAAATGAATTGAAATATGCATACAAAGGTAGTCTTCAAAATTTATAAACTAATAAGATATATATGACGTATTAATTAGAATAAATTTACTTTAGCTATTTAAAAAAAAAAAAAAAAAAAAAAAAAATGTAAAAAATGAAATAAAAAAATACAAATACATTTT